ATATCCCTCTGACAAGCTTCACACCATGGTATATGCGCTTCACTATATCCGCAAAATATATATCTATATATATATATATACAACAACTTCGCTCTACACGACGGACGAGAGATTATACTTCGAGGACGATAAAAGGGGAAATACGGGGATCGTTCATCTCTCCCTCTCTCTCTCTCTCTCTCTCTCTCTCTCTCTCTCTCTCTCTCTCTCTCTCTCTTTCGACCCCTCCAAAAAAAAGTAGAAAAAATACTACGTAGGTATATACTTTAAATAAATGAGAACGATAACACACCTGCTCAATGTTCTCTTTTTGAAAAATTATTCACATGAAACAAGTGACATTTATTTATTTCCTAGAAGACAGTTTACGGAAAATGGATAACATTTTTTTAGATTTTATTTTTATTTTTATGGGTTTTCAATGCTTATTAGGGTTTGAAAGATTTTTTTTTGCGAAAATTACGAGAGAGTGAAAAGAGACGAGGGGGCATTAAAAGAAAAATTTGTCTGACGAAACTTACTTTTACTACTGGGACAGATAAGGGAAGTGTTTAAACCCTTCAGTCTGCCTAAAATTTATTTTTACTACTGTAACTAAAATATATTTTTACTACTGTAAGTAAAATTTATTTTTACTACTGTAACTAAAATTACAAGGATTTAATTGCTGGGTCTGACCAAAATTTACTATTACTACTAATACTAAAATAATAAAAATTAGAACAATGTCTGACCAAAAATAATATTTACTACTGCAACCAATATTAAAAGAATTAAATTTTTTGTCTGACTATATTTACTTTTACTACTGCAACTATATTCTGACCAAAAAAATTTTTTGCTACTGCTACCAATACTGTAAGAAACCAATTTTTGTCTGACTGAAATTCGCTTTTACTACTGCAACTTTAATTGAAAATTTTACCGAATTCTGTCTGACTAAAACTTTTTTGTTCTACTGATATTAAAATTCGTTTTTATACTGATAGTAAATTTACAATTTCAGAACTTTTGTCTGACTAAAATTTACTGTTACTACTGATACTAAAATAATAAAAATCGAATCTTCTGTCTGAGGAAAAATGCCTTTTACTACTGCTACGAATATTAAAAGAATTAATTTTTTGTCTGACTAAATTTTACTTTTACTACTGCAAGTTTAATTGACAAATTTTACCCAATTATGTCTGACAAAATCTTGGTTTTACTACTGATAGTAAAATTACAATGTCAGACGTTTTGTCTGACCAAAATGTACTTTTACTACTTATACTAAAAATCTAAAAATTTAATTGTCATGTCTGACTAAAACGGATATATTCTACTAATAATTTATAATTTAAATTTTTCTGTCTCCAATAAAAAATTTAAAGTACTATTTCATTTTTTGGAAGTTTTCTTGCAAAAAGAAAATAAAGATAAGCTTTTTTTTAAAAATTCAAGAATATAATCACTAAATTTTAAAAACTTTTCCTAAAAAAATCTAAGGTGCAGGTGTCTGTCATCGTCAGCCTTAAGGGATCAATTTCTCGTTATCACAAAAAGAGTCGCATCATCTGGTGCATTGTGAGGGATACTTCCCTCGGGGGGGAGGGGGGAGACAATATTGATCGAAGAAAAAGAACAATCTTCAAGGGATGATACTGCATGTACATGTATACATTCACATCCCTGACCAAAAGAACAAGAGAGGGTCGTGGGATAAAATCCATTGATTCGTAGTGAAAACAACGTCTTGTAGTAATGACCCCACACAATGTCTTTTGGTGCCCTCATCCCTAACCCTCTGCAATATGCCAAAGGCGGCTACGCTCCTTATTACTTTGTACCGTATATAAGAACCGAGGGGTGTGTGTGTGTCTGAAAATGTCGATTTCAAAAGAACGACACGTTTCCGCATATATTGGCCTCTTTCTATTCGAACCCAAAAAAAAAAAAATTCACGGAAATCTCCCAAAGCGCCCCTTTTATCCCAAGGGATCAAAGGGTCCAACACAGTGAATCGAACTTAAACCAAATTTCCCATACACAATTTGACTTTTGACGGAATTTTTCACTTTAGAAAAAAGAAAATTGATAACCCGAAAAAGGGGCGAAAAAAATTATTATTAAAAATTAATTATTACTTTAGAAAAATAAAATTCATAAGTCAAAAAAGGAGCGAAAATAATTATTATTAAAAATTCTTTTAAATCTCATAAGAGAATAGTGAAAATTAATTTTTGAAATTCTTTCAAAATCGATTTTTCTGCCCTAGGGAGGAAAATAGTTATTTTTAACCCTAGAGAACAAAAAAGTTGGGAAATAAATAAAGAAAAATCGAAGATAAAGTAAAGGGATTTTTATTAGCTAATTTCGAAGCTTATAAGTTATTTGGGAAAAGGAAATTATCTACTTTTGGGAATAGGGAAACTTTGGTGAAAAGGACCATAATTTACAAAGCTGGGAAACAATACACACAGACTTCAGCCCTTCAAACTTCTAAACGACCTCACTGGGACCGACCAAAACTACTTTTCCCAGAAACTGTTATTAGTTTGCTCCTTCAAAAAAAAAAACAGTTTTCTTTTCCACAATATATAATTGTATAAGGGATAATTATTTAATTATAAGAAATTGAACCATTTCTGTTATATTTCGAAAATTTTTCCTCTACTTTGGTCCATAGTGAATCGGATGCTGCTAATCATATCAAAAAGTGCGGCATAATTTTTTTATTCGTTTCTTTCTAAGACTGACGCTATTTCTGAGGTACTCAAAAATTAAAAAATCCATAATTTTTTCCGAAATACAAACTTAGCGAATTCTTCTAAATTTGAGAGGAATATTAATATTAAAGAAAAATATTCCCCGAGATAATTAATTTGAAATTAAAAATAAGAATTCAAATTATTAAATAAGCGTGAAATATGAACATGAAATATAAAATAGTTTTAAGTGAAAAATTGAAAAATTCATATTTATGTATAAAAGCAGAATTAATCAGTTATAAATTATGGAAATATTATTTGATATCATTATGGATAATAAAAATATATTTCGATATAAATTCTATAAAGGATATAAATTTACAAATAACACCGTAGATGCAAATTATTATTCTGATTCTCAAATCAAATATATCCTTTGTATCAATTGCATTTCACTGACAATTCGATCAATTGAATTTCCATTTAACAGATCTAGCGAATCTCGTTACCTGATTGAAATCAAACTCGGGCGTCGTTGAGGTTAGAGATCACTTTAATTACAAAATTTGTTATCATGATTTACACATTTGCATGTAGCGTGTATTTCATTTAAAAACAAGTCTAATTTCTTGTTAGTTTTTTTTTCGGAAATTATTTTCCCTTTAAAAATTGAAATAATTCGAAAATTTACAAATGCTTGTAAAATTACAAGAATTTTTTTTCGTCTGTAAAATAACGGTAAATATTTAGTCGGAACTAAACTAAACCAACTGTCTATGATTCACATACTAATATGAAATTTACTAGTCTGGCTAAAATCTACTTTTACTACTGATACTAAAATTACTGGAATTTAATCATGTCTAACCAAAATTGACTTTTACTACTGATTGTAAAATTGAAATCTCCATGTCTAAGAAAAACTTTCTTCTACTACAGAATTCTAAAATTGTTGTCTGACTAATACTTACATTTACTACTGAGGTTGAATTTGAAATCTTTACGTCTAATCAAAACTTACTTTTACTACTAACTCAAAAATCGCTATGTCTGACTTAAATCTACTTTTACTACTGATACCAAAAATACAGGAATTTAATTATGTCTGACTAAAATTGACTTTGACTACTGAAACTGAACTTATAGTCTGACTAAAATTTACCTTTACTACTGCCACTAAAACTCCTGAGACAAAATTTGAATTTTTATGTCTAACCAAAACTTACTTTTACTGCTGAATATAAAATTGCTACGTCTGACCAAAATCTACTTTTACTACTGATACTAAAATTACTTGGGTTTAATCACGTCTGACCAAAATTGACATTTACTACTGACTCTAAAATTGAAATCTCTATGTCTAACCAAAACTTATTACTATTAAATCTAAAAATTGCTGTCTGACAAAAATCGACTTTTACTACTTATACTAAAATTACAATTTCAAATTAATTTTGTTTTTTATTTAAAAAAAAAAAATTGGCAAAAATTTTAGAAAGCTTATAAGTTGACAGCAGATGCATTGGTATTTTTTGGGGGAATTCGTTATATTTCGGTGGCTTGTAAGATGGCATGAGAAATATTTTACGACTTTTGGAGTGAGACAGCGCGCGCGTGAGGGAAAGATCTCTCGAAATTAATTGAATTCTCCTGCGTATATAGAACGTCGAGGCGGAGAGGTCATCCTCCTCGAGTTGGATGCAGGGGTCCAGCCATTGGTATATAGAATGGGTTATATTAGACGGAGGGAGAGGGAGTGAAAAAGGGCGAATAGAAAAGGAAATAGAAAGAGGGAATACTATATACTGCTTTTATCGGAACCAAATTAAAAATTTGATGGGAATTCTACGTGACATCCTTCCATTTGCCTTTTAGAGCAAATCACACACGCGATGCATTTTAATAATATACATTGCAAAATCGTCTCTCAATGATTTGAAAAAAAAATAGAAAATTCCTATCAATTTCTATAATTAATAAATAATAATGTAATTAATAAATATAAAAGAGCCAAATAAATTTTTACCTATTTTCAAATAAATATTTATTTGTTGCAAATAAATTTTATTTGTAAAAAAATTTTTTTGCTCCAAATAAAAAAGACAGATATACGTTTACTTAATTCAAATATATTATATCTGTTTCAAGTAAAATATTTCTCTGAATGAAGAAACATGAAATCATATTTTTTTTCAAAATATAAAATTTAGCATAAGATTAAATAAGGGACAAGTATTTTTCAAAGGGAATTTTTTTTTAAAATGAAAATTTTTCTGAAAAAAAAACAAGACAAATAAGTAATGAACTTACCAGTAAAGCGAAGATGACGCTTCAGGGCTCGGCCACCGAGGGAATCTGAAACGGAGAAAAGTTTTTATTAGATTCGAAGCGAAGGCACTTTGATATTCCTAGGGTTTAAAGGGTGACAGGGGACGACGAGTGTGCGGTATATAACTATATAAACCTTATCGTTTGCGGCGTCAAATATATATATATATATATATATACAATATTCAGAGGGGAATCCGTTAGCCTACGCCTCGAGGAAGTTTGCATATACTACATGAGAGATATTCAGGATACTGTAAATGTAAACGTTTGCTGACGCTCCCTAAATGATTTTCTCTTATTTTATATATATACATATATACAACAAAACGCGATACATGAAATTGCTTCAATCGTCTTAAGCATCCACTTCCTCAAAGTACCAATTTCAATCACCTGCTTTTCTCCCTCTCTCCTTCTTCACTTTAATGGAAATATTATATATATATATATTAAATTAATTAACAAAATCCCTTCATTAAAATCATATTTAAATATGCCAGAGAATAAAATAGAAAATTAATTATTATATTTTCAATTCAAGATTCGAAATATGAACAACTGTTACCCTCTTTGTAAGTATAAATTGCCAAAGAACTTTCTCTTTTCTCTTATTAATTAATTTTATAAGAGAATTATTAATTTACTTTTATTCTGAAATTTGGATGAATAAATTCAAGAAGTTAATAATTATTGTTACAATAACAAAAGTAGGAAAATTAATTAAAGAATTTTCCCCATTTTGAAATAAATTATATTAATTTTCGAAATAAAAATGCCTTAAAGTGTACCTTATTGTATTAAATAATTGACAAAATGAATTTAGAACACATTTGACAATATATATGCGAGAGGAAACACATTTCTCGAGGAATTTGCCATGAGTAGTAGTATAGATATATAGAAAGGGAGCAAATTGACGTATGAGCATTGTCAAAATGACAATAGTGGATCTCAATATACAATATTGCCATTAGTAGAAAGAGAAACAGAGAGAGAGAGAGAGAGAGAGAGAGAGAGAGAGTCCAATGTTGAAGATCCTGAGAGTAAATTCGATAAACCAAAGATGCAGGCAATAGACACTGTGAACACGAATATTCAACATTAGGGGAACCTCATTTTCATATATGTATACTGCTCCTTAATAGCACACGTGCATTATTCGATGTTACATTAAAGGAAAGTGTGCACTGATTGTGCCAATATTATATATATATATATATATACCTACAACATAGGTAGTTCTCGAGTCGAGTTATCAGAGTAAAATTGCTGACCCCCGTTCCTACAACATTCCCTAGATATTACCTCCCGCATTACCAAGTACACAACGTCACGTTCAATTGCTCACAATGGAAAATTAAATTGTGATCAGCATTTCCAATATTATATGATTTCACATTTTCGAAATTGAAAAATAGAAATTTTCAACTCGAATGATGATTTTGGAAAATAATTAAATTTTTATTATTTATTTTTCTAGAATGTAAAAAAATAATTTACTAGAAAATGAAATTACTCAAAAAATAGACAGAACCAAATAAAACCTATTAGAATCTAATTAAAATTGACTTAATCCAATGGAAAACATAATTAAATTCAATTAAACGAATCACAGAAAGTTAAAAGGCATTAAAATAAGCTGAAACGCTTCTTATTTTAATACAATTTTGCTTATTTTAATCCATTTTGGTATTAAAATAAGCAAAATTGGATTAAAATAATAAGCGTTGCAGCATATTTTAATGCCTTTTAATTTTCTGTGATAGTAATAACCCGTACATAAATTTTGAAAGGGCCCTGGTAGGGGACACAAAAGAAAGCCCTATTTCAGCCCGATTAAAACCAAAGTCCGATCAGAGCCAGGTTTGACCCCGTCCGGGTTCCCTGTTTCAACCAGGTCTGGGTCAAGTTATGGCCTTATAAGAATCAAATCTAATTAAAACCCAATAATTGAATCCAATGAAAATCTATTAGTATCGTGATTGAAACTGATATAATCTCTAAGTACCTATAAATTTTTTTCACAAATAAATATTTTATACTTGATTCGAAATTACGAATTAAAAAAAAATTGCTGTAGCTAAGTAGGTACTTGAAATATAAAAAACTTTAATCAGTAAATATTTAACGAATAATAAAATTAATTAAAATTCGAAACGAGAAAAAATTACGCTTGTGATTTGCAATCTGTAACTAAGATACAGAAAATAAAAAAATATGAGCTCATTAGGAGCGATGCAAGTCGTGAAATGCATGCTATGGATACAAAAAAGAATGATTGCAAAATCGTGGTTAATGTCTAATTAATTATTCCCATTGGACAGAAATCTGCAGACGGTTTTTGTTTATCTTTATTTTTTTTTTAAACTATATTTCAAGATACAAAGTGTATCACGTGCCAACGTTATTTCCGCTTCCGCTTTGTCTTCTCCTATATACACTACTACTTTTAAGACTAGAAAACCAGAAGCTGGTGCACCATTAGCTTGTGTATATATATATTTATTCCAAGTGTCTTTGCTTGGATTTCCTTCCCCTTGCCCGTCAGCGACCCGCGACATTAAAACTAATTTAAACATGCTCTTAACGGTCCTTCCTCTCACCACACGTATAATAATACTTATAGTCAGGAAACTTTCTTTAAACTTTACTGGCTCACGAAAACACCTCTCCCTTGTGAACGCATAGTTTTAAACACAAGCACTTGCCAAAAATAGACAATTTTTTTTTACTCTAATGGTTTCAAAAGCTTTTCCATATTATATACTATTTGTGAGAATAATTATTGAAGTGATGAAAGGACATTTTGACAAATTTTCCTTTACTCAGTTTGTTATATTTTTTACTCGACATCCAAAGGAGAAGAAAAAAATTAAATTCTCGCGAGAAAAGAATATATATTTATCGCCAGAGTGAAATAAATTTTATTTATTTCAAAATAAATATTTAATCCCGTGCAGAAATTTTGAAAAGGCCTTGGCAGGGCCCAGGTTAGGAAGCCCCAAATCCGCATGAAACAGAGAATGTAGAAATTGCCATACCATGGCCCTAATAGGGAATGGAACGCCACAGTTGATCAGGGCCAAATCACGGCGGCTAGAAAATGTGGATTTCCTAATTAGGGCCACATTAGGCGCGGCGTTACATTTCCTAATAGGACAACCTGATCCGGCCCCGTTCTGGGCCCTGTCAAAATTTCTGCACGGAGATTGGTGCCTATTTCAGCTCGATTAAAATCTATTAAAATAGGGGCCCGACCAGGGCCAGGTTTGGACCCGGTCATGTTTCCTGTTTTAACCAGGTTAGCGCCAATTTCTGTACGAGACGTTAATGGAAATAAAAATTTCCTTTTTTATTCGTAATATTAAATTTAAAAAAAAAAATATTTGCTTTTATTGTATTTATAAAGTTTGAAAAGTCTCTCATGTGTAAAGGAAAAAAAATCATTAAAAAATATACAAAATATAATCGTATATTGTAGGTAGATTGCATCCTGTAAACAGCCAATAAGAGCAAAAATTAAGGCAAAGATCGAATTAAACCCGCATTATTTTACACAGACAGTAAAAAAAAAATTAACAGGTGTAGGCGCACCTGGTTCTTTCAATTCAAAACCTTGAACACAATTCAATATTAATACATCATTCCATTGACTTTATCTCATCAATTCTATATATAAAATATATAACCCATATAATTTCCAATTACTGGCATTATTTATTTTATACATTTTTATACTCTTTAGATTATTATAATTATATGCAAAAAAAAAATAAATAAAAAATTATTTGAAAAAAGAAAAAAAAATGTTTTTTTACAAATTATAAAAAATAAACTGGTAAATAATTTATAAAAAATAAATTGGTAAATAAATAAGTGATTTTATAATTTATAAAAATTATTTTTACCACTATTTCTGTAATATTACTTCAATTATTATTTCTACATAATCCCGTGCAGAAATTCGCAAACCTGGCCCTGACCTGGTTGAAGCAAGGAACCGGGGCCAAACCAGGTCCTGTCTGGCGAAATAATAAAATACTTTTAGTAAAATAAAAAAAAGTTTTGCTAGTAAAAATAAAATTTTTTTTTTAAACTAATAATATTTTCAAAAAAAATCAAAGCCCTGGAATTTTAGTATCTCAGTTTCAGTATCCTTTTTTTTTTTATTTCAAGAAAATATCAGTTTGTAAAGTTAATAAAATGCCAAACTAACGAGTAGTTTACCTTGACATAAATTGCACTGTTATAGTGGCATTTCAAACTAGTGATTTAAATATACAGACACCTATTCCAGGCTAGCGGATCCTCATCTCAGTTTTATCTTATTACGTGAACATCCGGTGCTTCTTCTCTGGTATATGTTTACGCGTAACTTGTTATTACACTAACTGAACTAACGGCCAACGATGAGGTTCGTTGAAACGTAAAACATCGCATAGAATTTTCCACCTGACTGAATACAAATTCGGCTTGTCGTAAAGAGAAACAGAGAGAGAGAGGGAGCAAGATTCAAATCTTTTGAAGCATAGCTTAACACTCTTGTAATTAGGATCGTACGTCTTGATCAGAGTACTTGATGCAGTGTGCAATCCACCTGGAATTTCACTTGCCTTTAAGCCTTGTTAGTTGATTCAACTCTTCCTCAAAGTTTTCAAGAAATAATAATAATTTTAATATATTCATTATTAATTTCAATAAAAAAAACATTAAAAACCCGTGTAGAAATTGCCCTACCAGGGCCCTAATAGGGGATGAAACGCCACACCTGATCAGGGCCAATTCAGAGCGATCAGAAAATGAGGATTTTCTAATCAGGGACAAATCAGGCGCGTCGTTTCATTCCTTAATAGGGCAGCCTAATCCGGCCCCGATCTGGGCCCTGGCAAAAATTTTTCACGGGGAATTATACCCTTTTTTCCGTTATTATAATATTTTATAGAATACGAAAAGTTTGAGACAGTACATTTGAAAAAAAAAATCTCCAATAAAAAAAAATTATAAAAATATAATAATATTCTAAT